CCAGGTCTTCTTTGCTTTTTAACTGACCCAGTGTTTATGAATTGCTTACTCCAATGAATAATGTTGTTTTTATGAGGCGGAGCTTTATTGAATGTTCTTCGAAATGCCCGTTGCACAAAAGTCACTGACTTTAACTCACTTAATAACAATACACACTTAGCTTTTTCCTGATCTGAAAACATGTTGGTCGAAAAAAACTCAACTTATTGATTAAGAAGTGTTTTGAATAGTACAACAATCAAAACAGCTGTTTTAACAAATGCGAACAAAACTGTTTGAGCTACTAGATACAGGGATACCAACAGAAGTAATTTAATTTGTCTTATAACAGTTTTACAGGCACCATTATTTTATGGAAACCCTGTATTTTAGCAGTTCTCATTCTATTATTCTATATGGTTTTGTCTAAGAACCTTCAGTGAAATACCAACATTCATTTGAGCTATTGATTAGATCGGACGTACCTGAAGCACAATGCAGAATCAACAATAATTTATTATAGACCTAATCTGAAATCAATGATACGTAATTCATTTTTATTTCAGTCTTATTTCAGTTTTATTTGTCTTTGTCTTAAAATACTCCTGGAAATAATGGCTTTGCTCTAAGGGCTATTAAGTGCAAATGAGGGGGTTTCATACGGTTTTAAAAATCTATATGCTGTAATCTCTAATGCAATGATTTATTTGTGATGTATTGTATTTTTTCAACACTGTTTTTCAACATAATAGATTTAGCAAAATAATACAACAATAGGATACGGTTAAGCTATATGATTATTCATTACATTAAATTTAGTAACAAAATAATCAACATGAAAAAACAAAACATAATATGATAATGAATGTTAATATTTTTTATAGATAACTTACTTTTTGGTATTGGGTATAGTAGTCTTTTTTTGTTGAGCGCAGCCAAGCGAAATGAATTATGGTCGGCCAGGTGGGCCACCCCACAATAGCCGAGGTAGGTAGGTAGCCTTTTCCTGGTTCAGAGATGCCCTTTCCACAACTTAGTGACTTCGATACTTATATCCCGTTACCCACCGCACGCATTTCTGCTTCCCGATGTGGGTTGTGCTTATATTGAACAACGATCTGATGTGTTCTAAAGTAGGAGGAGGGGCAAAAATAAGTACCGGTACTGCATGCGTCACTCAAATTCCAAAACATTTCGGTTCCCCGAATGGGTGTTTGACCCGAGACCATCGGATTGAATTATGGGAAACCTCATAAACTAAGTATGGAAGTTACCAATTAATATGAGTATTATTGATAAAAGATTGCAAAATAATATGTTTTCTATTTAGTAGTTATATATTTGAATAGTCATGTATGGTCATCCGGAGAATAATAAAAATATATCCCGAAATAGTTCAGGTTTATTTTCAAGCAATATTAAAATTGAGGTTAAGATAATTGGGGCGCCAGAAAAAAATACTAGTCTACTAAAATTAGTTATGGAAAAATCTTGGTAACGAATCAAAATATAAACAATGCAGCTTCTTGCTGTGAAACACTGCCATATACTACTGATTTCACGTTGCTAAATAGACACATATAGACATTTTATTGAATATTTGCAGAACAAATCTTTACTTTAATCAGCTGATTTGATTTATAAGACGTACGTTGTAATACTTTGGTGAAGATTACTCATGTCATGCTTGGTGCTATATTCCCCCCGATAATGCAGCATAAATTGGCACATTGGCGTCACCGGTAGACCTAAACTACAGAAATTAAGATAATTCCTGATTTATCGTATTGTAATTGTATTGTATTGTATTGTATTTCTTAAGATATAAAACGTAGAATATTAACAAAAAAATTTACAATTTGTTTTTTAATTAGGTAAGTAGTAAAAATACCATATGCCTACGCTACCTAAGTATCATATTTTATTTCCTTTCCATAACAAAATGTTTCTGTAATAGTATATTACTTTACTAGTCCGGAAAATAGGTGTTTACCGAACGAGTGTGGTCTTTCCCGTGCGAGACGATGTCGAGTCCGGGATAACCATACGAGTCCGGTAAACACATTTTGGACGAGTGGCATACAAATTTAATACCATACTACTTAATCCGATCAAATACTTATAATATTACCACCGATTAAAGGACTAACAATCACTAGTCTGTTTTTGTTTATAAACATAACACTCTCACTCATTGCCAAATACATTATATAATCAGCTGGTTGGTGTCCGGTTAAACTCATTACAGTACAGTGTACGTAACTCGGGCTTCATCCTCACTATCCCAGAATGCCTAAAACAAACTCGTGTGATAGGGGGCCATACACATATTACCTAACACACCTTTTCTTCATTTTAACCTCCTCCCCCTCCCCTATGTAACGCTTGAGCAAGCCCCCACCCACCACCCAAATCAAATAAATAAGATTGCAACTAATAATATAATAAAACAAGAACATAAATTATGTCAGTTAAAATGTAACTAATTTAATTTATAACCATTTTAAAACATCAGATAAATGATTAAATAACAGTTACATTGTTAAGGAAACAGCAAAATAAAAGATTTATAAGCTTATAACATGAATATAAAATAATAGTGGTTTAGTTACCTTTATTTTCGTCCAAGTTCAATAAAAAGTTGTAATATCTACAACCATGGTTTCGACGCTAGTTGCGTCATGGTCACGTAGTTAGCAAGTCGAGAAGTATCTTGTCATAGTCGGTCGCTTGGACGTCGTCATATTTACACAAACACGGACATGGACATAAACACACCCGTACATTGATTAAAATAAAAGGTTCTCGTGGACGGAACTCAGGCCTGTGGTGAACAGTTAATTTGTACCGTCGCGGGAGCCGGCAGGAGAACACTCAAATGATATCATGTCCACGAGAACTTTTTATTTTAATCAATGTACGTGTGTGTTTATGTCCGTGTCCGTGTTTGTGTAAATATGACGACGTCCAAGCGACCGACTATGACAAGATAGTTCTCGACTTGCTAACTACGTGACCATGATGCAACTAGCGTCGAAACCATGGTTATAGATATTACAACTTTTTATTGAACTGGGACGAAAGTAAAGGTAACTAAACCACTATTATTTTAAATTTGTCTTAACAGTTCAGGGGCAAACCACAACAATGAGTTATAACATGATATTGAAGTAAAAACTATGGTAAGACAAACAGCTACAGTCCACTCTTGGTAATTCAAACACTTGATAATTCAAAACTTTCGATAATTCAAAATGAATGCTCAGTCCCTAGAGAATCTCTCAATATTTCAAAATTTTACCATGCATTTTGATACACTTGATATTTCAAAGTCCAGATAGAGGGCAGGTCAATTTGTAACACGCAGTAATTCGAAGTTTTGTCGGAAAAACACTCTATAATTTGAAGTACGGTAACTCAGTAATTCGAAGTTTCGTCGAAAAAACACTATAAATCAAAGTCACGTAGTAATTCAAAGTTTAGTCAGCAAAACACTCTATAATTCAAAGTGATCTCTTCCTGTTATAACAGGAAACTATACAGTACAGTACATCCTGTTCCCATGGTAGGCTAGTGTTGGACGTTTTGATGTTTGTTTAGTTAGAGCAGTAGGCCCTAGTCTGAGTTAGTTCGCTGACTTGTTTTTCTAAGTTGGCAATCCGATCTCTAGATTGCGCGACATCTCCTTGAGCACAAACGTAGTTGTCGACAGCTGATAGTTCAGCTATTGGCAAAATATATAGCGCTAAATAACAGATTTCTTTGCAACTACAGTAACTGAAAAATAAGCCGTTGATTGTTTAAAAGTGTATTAAAATACGGTATGATGTTTTATTGTAACGTGCTGTACCTTTGTATGTATTAAACAAATGAACTCTCTGTAATTCGAATGGTTTATTTTTCTCCCGATAAATCAAACTCTTGATGATTCAAAACTCTTGATAATTCAAATTTATATGCTTGGCCCACCAATTTCGAATTATCAAGAGTCTACTGTATTTGGTAACAAATGTCGCCACAGAAAATATATTTGTGAGATTTTTTACATTTCTAAGGGAAATTAAACATTAAAGCTTAAGTTTGAAAGAATAATATGAATATAAATATCAATTTTATTATTTTTATATTTTTAAAAAGGAATGTGTGCGTTAGGTAAAGTTGAGCCAAACCTCCCCCATATAAAGCAGCGTTACAACACTATCCACTAAAATCCAAACGCACAACTTTAATATGCCATTCACTGACTCCCGTCCACCACTCGACTCTTCAGAAAGTCAAGGATACCCGAAGCTTCACTCCACTGCCGCCTTTTGATAATCCCAGCAATACGCGCACAGACACATAACAAACTCTTTAACATCCTGGCAAAAAACTTGTTTCCAAATTTTTAATACAAAAGCAAAATGGCAGATATCTTTCAAACAAGTGTTTTTGGAAAAAATTTAGTCTTTTTGTTTTATATTTTGATCTGATAAATCTATTCCTTTTACAGGACACCCTTTATTCACTAGAGTATTATAAACTTGTTATAACTTATAAAAAAAAGTTAGTTTTGATAGGTAATATCTTAAGGTGCATTTGTCATTGCTTTTAATATGAAATCTTAGTGTCATCTAGTTTAAATATGCAGAACCAACTGCCCATCTGCAAAACTTAACTATTTGTTTCTTTAGCAAAATCTTTAAGAAATGTTATTATAGAAACAGAATTTTAGAACAATATTGTATTATTTTATAAGCGTCACAGACAACCTAAGTAGGTACCAATTCGCTGTCCATTTGTATATTAGGATTTTTAAGTTAATTTGATTATAATGATTTTCTCAAAGGGATTGAAAAATCTTAATAATTTGAGATAGTTGGTAACTTAGTCAAAGATAACGTTTGTGTAAAACTACTCATTATACTTGTTGCTTATTTGCTCCTCTCAGTAGTGGGTGTATCATACTCTTACGATTTTAATTAGGCCTAGAAATCATATGTGGATGTATTCTTCCTCAATTTATTTTTCTTTAATTTCAGGTATTTATCAAAATGGGGAAAAAGAATAAGAGTTTGACACCAAAAAATTCACCTGCTACTCCTAAGTTAAATCCAGTTATTGGAAAGAAAACTAAATCACCTGTATCTGAAGGCAAAAAAAAGGCCATAAAAGAAAATTTTAAAACGGTAAATACTCTTACAACTCCATCCAAAGGCCCTCAAAAGAAAATAACAAATTCACCTCAACCTCAACACCCTAATGGAAAACAAAATTCAACTGGCACTCCTAAATCTAAGAAGAAAAGGAATAGAAAAAATAAGAAAAGACAATCTGAAAACTCATTAACCTTAAGTCCAGAAAAAACAAGTGTAGACAAAACTCCGACAGAAAAGCCCCTGTCCAAAAGAGCACGACGAAAATTAGCAAAATTGAGGAAAGAACAAGACAAAACAGGTGAATTTATCCCTTTAGAGCAACCAGCAAAAAAAAAGAAAGCGGCACAATCACCGAGTAAAAATAACGCCCCTCACTCAGATAAGCAACAAGGTACCAACTTGTTTGAATCTGACTCAGATGAGTCATCTGATGATGATGAAGATGTTCAAACTACAGATGTATCAAACAAATCAATTAATGCACCCTCTACTGATGAAGAAATTGAGGAGGAGAGTGAGGAGGAAAACGAAGAAAGTGAGGAGGAAGAGGGAAAACTAAACATAAAGGCTTCCTCTGAGCCAAAGCCGAAAATCATGGACTTTGGTTCAGAAGATGATGATGATGATGAGGAGGAAGCCAGTAGTGATTCTGATTCAGAAGAAGTTGTTAATAACAAACTACATAAAACTAAAAAAGAAAATGCTAATGACAGCCAAGATAGCCAGGAGAGTCAGGGCAGTCATTACTTGTCACTAGAAGCATCAACAATCGGATCATCACCAATCAAGAGGAAAAAGGAAGACCTCTCTGATGATTCTGATGTTGAAGGTAAAAACTTTATTGATGATGAAGCCGAAGAAGGGAATGAAACATCTGATGAAAGTGCTGAAGAGGAAGAAGAGGAACCTTCCCCTGTTCAAAAGAAACGCAAAATTACACCCAATGATGACCAAAAAGATGGACGATTCCAAGAAGAACACAAAATATTTGTTGGCGGTCTTGCACCAAAGTAAGTAGGCTATGTTCATTTCCACTAATGTGCAATTCTATGGCTCATTTTTTTTTTTTTTTTAGTATGCTATGTCCTAACATAGGTACTAGCCATCAGTGGCGTATCCAGGTGGGGTTCAAGTTAAGGGGTTTGAACCCCCCCTTTGTCTTTAAAACATGAATTTTTTACAATTCAAATCTGTGTTCTACAATTAAAAATCTCTTATGTGACTCTAAATAGCCTAAAATGCAAGTTTAGTTTACAGGTCTAATTTTCACACATTTTCTGGAGAAGGACCCACCATTCAGCCCAAGGTTACAATAAATACTTTTTCTTTCTTTCTAAAAGTAAGTATGTGATAAGTATAATTTATATGCTAAATGTTCCAGCTCAACAGAAGATGACTTGAGAGAAGCTTTGTCTGATGTGGGGAATATTGTGGCAGTCCATGTTCCATTAAGCAGGGAAGTGCCAGGGGAGTGCAGAGGATTTGCCTTTGTCACCCTGAAAGACCAGAAATCAGTAACAGTAAGTAACAATATTCACATATTTTATTATTTTTGTCCTACCATTCCATCCAAAATGTGAGAAATGTTAAAACAACTAAATTAACACATTGACAATCCTTTGTTTAAAGTCCATTTTTGGTGATGATTAGGGATGGGTCGGTTGTTAAAGTTGGTTGCCGGTTTACCTCGTTTTTGCAACAAAAAAGCAAAAAAAACCTTAATGTTCTGTAATCATTTTGGTTAGGAGAACATAAAAGGTTTATCAGATGTTTGTTTACGACTTTCATAATTTATTGCTATGGTAATGAAGCAATAAAAAACTCATTAGAAGTCCCAAACCCACTATCATTTTATCAGACAATAATCATTTTATCTTACTTCCAAGAATTCAAGTCAAAGCACATAAATGTTTTATTACTTAGATTGTTAATCTCTTTTATTCCTTTACTTCTAAGGTATAATAATCTAAAATCGCTTAAAAATAACTTGCAAAGCGGACGGAGACTGTTGCATTGTTGTGGCAGACTTAAGCCGCATGCTCTGGTATGCACTGCAACTAACCTCTAGTGGTCACGTATCACTAAAGCTGCCATATCTCAGTTGATATTTGTCCAATCTTAAAAAATAAGGTGTCAATCGATTTGTAGTTAAATTGCCTTAAAAAAGTTATTGTTGTAAATATTTTGTAAAATCAATGGTTTTTGAGTTATTTAAGAAAGAAAATTTTAAATGACCGCCATTTTGAATTGGTACAACTTATAAACCAGATACTTTGTGCAAAGATTAGTCTTACTTGTCACTACTTACGTACCAAGTTTCAAGTTAATCGTTTAAGGAATTCGAAATCACATGCAGACGGACAGCCGGACAACGAGGCTCCGGTGACCCATGTTTTATAGTGTATAATATTCATGTATTAACCCAAGGAACAATCCTGTGAATTTTTTCGAGAGAGTTCACAAACACCCTGTATAAAATATCCGGATGTATTTCAATAATTTTTGTCTAACTGCCTCAATATGTATTTTCCAAGATATCTTCGAGTCAACATTTAAGCCTAGATATTTTATTGAATTTACCTGTTCAATGTCCGCACATTGGCACTGTAGATCCATTTTACAATTTAACGAATGATATTTTAATGGCTCAGCAAAGCTTATGTTAAGAGACAAATTGAAGATTATGTACTTTGTTTTAGGACTCATGACCATAAAGTGTTTTGTGAACCACACTCTTAGCATCTTTATATAAGCCTGCATTTCTAGTCTAAGTTACTCTAGATTTGAACTGCTGTAAAACAGTGCAGTATCGTCAGCAAACGCAACTAGTCTGCCATTGAATACACCTTCACAAAGATTATTTACATAAATAAGAAATAATGGTCCAGATAATACAGAACCCTGTGGAATTCCGTGCTTAATAATACCTACTTCATTAACAGATTCACCTACTCTAGTTACGCGGCTTCTTTCTGATAAATATGAACTGAACCACTTGAGAGGGATCCCTCTAATACCTGTTTTATACATTCGAGACAGGAAAATAGAGTGATCTACTGTGTCGAATGCCTTCATTACATCGACAAATATACCTGCACAGCATTTACCTTGATTTATTCCATTGTAAACCTGAGACATAGAATCTAACAAAGCATTACTTGTGTTCATTTTACATCTAAACCCATACTGTTTTTTACTAAAGAAATTGATTTTATTCAGGAAGTTAATCAAATGCTCCTTTACAATCTTTTCTATTATTTTTGATAAGATAAAGAGTAAGGCTATAGTCTCAAATTTACGGAAAGTAAATAAAAGAAACGTCTTTTATTTATTTTTATTTATTTTATATAAAATAAACCATGTAAAAATTCCCCTCCCCCCCTCCAAAATCGATTTCTCCCCTTATATTTTTCCTATAGTCACTATAGGTGCATCGGTCTAAATCACGTTTATCCCCTTTTAGATTAGCTGGAGATTGAAATTTGGCACCATTGTAGGTCTTGAGCTCTTATTTAAAACTGACATCTACAATAATAACCCCCTCCCCTGAAATATCGAATTCCTCCCCCCCCCCAATGTTATTTTTATAGGTGCATCGGTCTAAATCACGTTTACTCACTTCTACATAAACTGGAGATCTGAAATTTTGCACGATTGTAGGGCTTTAGGTCTTGCGTCCTTGAAAAGTGAAATTTCCTCTGCCCCCAAAAAGCTAGATAATTTTTAAAAGTTAAATTTTCCTATAATAAACCTTTTTAAGAATCCAGGGTGTCTACCTACCGGAAATCTGGGAAAACCGGGAATTGTACTTAAATTTTTATTGGCCATGAAATGTACGGGAATTGTCCTTAAATGCCAGACTATGTCCTTAAATTTTTAATGGGCCATAATTTTATTGATCGCTAGTTGGTTAGGAGCACATAAAAGGTTTATCAGATGTTTGTTTACATTTTCATAATTTATTACTATAGTAATTATGCAATAAAAATCCCATTAACAATCTCAACCCATTAATATTTTATCACGACAATCAAGTGTCAAGTCAAGTACTTCCAAGAACTGTTGACTCAGCAGCTAGCTCATAAAATTTGTATCACTTTTATTCCTTCTTTTTTTATTACTAGGGTAATTATTATTAGATCGCAATGGCTGTTAAATTTCACTTCTTACTTGTACTTTCGGCTTGAAGATTCAATTTGCCGCGGCCAGTGCCTAGTGCCATAAAACTGTTTATGGTTTCATATTAAACATGTAAATAATCTACAGTCTTATTTTGTAAGTTAACCCCTTTTTATGGACATTCTATCTTTCAATTGACAAAACCACAAGCATTGTTGTTTGCATTAATGTTTAATCACTATGTAGGCCTGCTTGGTTTCAAATTATGTCATTGCATTTTCTGTATCTTTGTCTTATATTGTTGGCTATTCAGGTTTCAATGTTTTTTGTTTCCCATATATTTATTTATTGAGTTGTATGCTTTAAGCAATCAAAATCTTATGAACTAGAATGGTGATAGTGACTTTGCTGCTATTATAACCTCATTGTTTGTTACTCAGTTTATATAGGCCCTCCTAAATAATTAGGTCTAGGCCTGGGTATTATGATTCTTGAAAGAGCTGTAAAATATATTAAGAAAATGTAATTGAGCCTAAGATAAACAACTAATTATTGCTATGTGTCGATATTAACTTTGCAAATGAAAATACAATAATCTTACTCTGTGCTTATTGCTTATTAATAGCCGCTTAACCACAACGCTTATTAATGGCCACAGCAAAAGTGATATTTCCAGCTTTGTACTTCCATGATTGCTGAAATTTTATTCCCCTGGAATCTTGCCCTCCAAAGCAAATTTTATGTTAAAGCCAAGGGGGTAGGATTCTGACCGCAATCACTTAATAGTGGAACTTAACATATCTTGTTACTTTTGTAAATTTAATGAGAAACTAATTAAGTTGTTTTTACAAGTTTATGGACTGGACTTATCTCTCCTGGAATTTTACCTCCCCCCTCATGAGTTTATCCCAAAATGTATCAACCCAAAAAGGTACCCTGCAAAGAAAACCTATTAGGTCCACTTGTTTATAAACAAAGGAGCGTTTACTGCAATTTTTAATTTTTAAAATTGTAGTATAAGTATAATGTTGGTGAATAAAGATTAAATTGATAACTTTATTTTGCAGAAAGCCATCAGCCTGAGTGAGCAAGTAGAGGTGAATGGAAAATCTATCTTTATTAGAAAATACAACTCAGAACCTGGTGGAGGCGGTCAGCGAGGCGGAGGCCGTGGAAATTTTGGTGGTGGTCGTGGCAGAGGCAGAGGTGGTTTTAGAGGTGGTAGGGGAGGTTTCAGAGGAGACAGAAATGGGAATCGTGAGGGCAGGGGAGGATTCAGAGGAGGGCGAGGAGGAGGAGACTATGGAAGTAGAGATGGACGAGGTGGGAGAGGAGGAAGTGACAGAGGAGGAAGGGGAAGATTCAATAGGGGAAGGGGCCGTGGCAGCAAATACTTCCTCTGAAGAAATTGCAACTTTTAATGTAATTATATTGTCTCTTTGTTTTATTTGAGTATTAAATCAGACCACCTAGACCTGACAAGTTTTATATTCATATTATTTGACACATTCTTTTTATATCAATAACTTTTACATGTTGTGTTTGTTTTGTTATCAAGGATTTTGTGTTTTAGCTACCTATGTTTATTATTTAACAGTTGGAATGACTGTTCCTTATTTCGTACAGTGTTGTTTGAAATCCTGACGTAAGTGGCACATTGTAAGAAATTATTGTGCAAGAAATGTAACATTTTAAATATTGTGAGTCCATAAATACTGTTCACATTTTGTATTTAACATTACAGTAATAATTCTTGTCAAAATTATGTGAGTTTTAGTTAGCTGACATTTTTCTGACATGAGAATATAAAACTAGTTGTCTTATGATATATAAGACTGATAAAAAATGTTTTGTGATACATTTTTGAATATTCACTTGTAATAAACCACCATTTAATGTTAATTGTTTTGTTAACAAGATCATATTAAAACCTTTGTTATTTGATACTGAACATGCCTTATGATTTCATTCCATCTTAGCTAGCATAAAAACAGTTATGGCAACTACAATAAAATATCAAATCAAAATTTCTTTTATTTTGTATAAAATAATCATTTTTTACAGTTTTTACAAAATATAACATTACAATAGAAGTTGATAACTGAATAACTTAAAAATATACAAAATTAATCCCACATGGGAGAACCCGTGCATGGGAGTTAGTCGTTTTATATTGTAATAAGAACGAATAAGAAACTTTGATACATAGTAAAAACAGTAAAACTTCTATTTACTAGCATGATTACAAAGCGCTAGCAAAATTTTGGCAAATCACATTGGAACATAGATAATCATATTATCTTAACTAATTCTCAAACAGTTAAGATTTGTTAATCTTAACAAGTCAGTATTTTTAAAGTTGAAAGTATACTCAATCATAGTAAAATACTACCAAACTATTAATCCGTAGATTCAGTATTACTCATTGACTTCCCCCTACCATTAACCACCCAAAACGCCCCCCTCCCCCCACACAGACACATGTGTGTGCACACACAAGCACACGCTGTATCAGCTGTCAGCTATTGTCTGTATATAGAAACTAATAATCTATTAGCTCCATCCCTACCAATGAGTTTGAGCCATTGAACAACGTGTTTTTTGTACGTTGTAAGTGAGTGTCTGTCATAGTCTCGTAAGTCTAGTGAAAAGATAGAGTAAATGATGTGTGCAACGTAGTAACAGTTAGTTGTAGAAAATGTCTTTGTAAGTCTGGGTAAGCGTATGCCTTGGCCTTGTTAAAAGTTAAAAATGGAGAGAAAAGGACTCGATACTGAGCAGAAAATAATTTAATTACTCACAAAAGAAAAGTATACTCAATCATAGTAAAATACTACCAAACTATTAATCTGTAGATTCAGTATTAACCTCCACTGGATCCTTGATTCCTAAAAAATCCAAACTCCACAAATCTGAATTGAATTCATTATCAACAGGGGACAGTAAAGAAGTTACTGCCATAGAACTGGACCTATCATTGCCTTCAACTCAGGCCCGTTTTTGACCATGTCAGCGCCCTAGGCACAACTAAAATAGTTGCGCCCCTTTGCAATATAAACAGGGTGACCACTAACCGGGAAATCCGGGAATTAAGCGTGATTTTTTGAACCGGATATTATGTGTGCATTTTGTATTTCTACCTGGAGTTTTCAATTTACCGCGATGGCGCATGACAACAGTGACGTTTCCATGACCACGGGAGACGATAGTATGTCTCCACAAGGCCGTGAGGAATGATCAGAACTTTGCCGCGATCGCTTGAGATGATGATAATGTCTAAACGACCGTGGGATATGATCATGATTTTACCGCGATCGCGCGAGACGATAATGTCTAAACGACCGCGGGATATGATCATGATTTTACCGCGATCGCGCAATACGACAATCAGATCTACAGAACCGCGAGGGATGATCAGAACATTGCCGCAATCACAGAAGACGAAGATTATGTCCACACAACCGCCAACCGCGGGATATTATTAACATTTTGCCGTAATCCCGGGAGACAACTACGATTTCTTCACGACCGCGGGAGACGATTATGATGTCTTCACGACCGCGGGAGATGATTACGATGTCTACAGGATCGCGGGAGTTACAATAATTATGTCTAATCTACACGGCTGCGAGGGATGATCAGAATTTTACCGCAATCGCGTAAGACGATGATAATATCCACTCGACCACGGGAAAGATCAGAATTTTGCCTCATTCTCGAAAGACGATGACGATCTGGCGATCTCCAAACAACCGCGGGAGATGATTACCATTTGCCGCAATGGCGGGAGAGGATGACAATGCCTCACGACCGCGGGAGACGATGATGTCTTCACGGCTGTGAGGGATTATCAGAATTTTATCGTGATCACGCAAGAAGATGTATGTCCACACGACCCCGGGAAAAGATAACAATTTTGCCTCATTCGCAGTAGACGGTGATAGTCTCATCACGACCGCGGGATGTGTTCATATATTGCCGCGATCAAGGAAGACGATAACACAGAAAACATACGATAGTTATTTTCACACATCCGCTGGAAATAGTCAGAACTTTGCCGCGATCGCGGAAGACGGACGATGATGACGTATATACAACAGCAGGAAATAATTAACATCTTGCCCCAATAGTGGGAGACTGTTAAGGTGTCTACACGGCCGCAAGGGATTATCAGTTTACCGCGATCTCATGCAAAAACAGCCACAACTTTTTTATTTTTCCAATATTTTTGGCGCCCTCCAAAAAAGCCAATTGCCTCGCGCCCTAGGCACGTGCCTACCTTGCCTATTCGGTAAATCGGCCCTGCTTCAACTGTGGTTCTTCCCATTAAAGTCTAGCCCAACAAAGTGTGCATCGCAACTAACCCGTTGGAAAGCAGATATCGTTTCTCAGTGTAAAGTTTCCCGGCGACGTCTGCACCTATCAGAACTTCAATAGGTCCGTCTCCATCTGTTACATCAATTCCCAGTGTTCCAAGCTCAGTGGACCAAGGACCAGGTTTAACTGATGTAACATCGTTACAAATTACATCTTGATCAAGAACGTCAAAATTGTTGTTGTGTGTCATAACTGTTATTCAAGTCACTTTATACACAGTCATCATCCACACGCATGTTGAATTGTTTCAGTGCTAGTGTCACCAAATAAAGCATGAACTAGCTTCTCCTTTCTGAGCTTCTCCGTCGTAGCCAAATTCCTTTGCTGTATTTTTCAAAATATAAGATAGTTGTGATCCCGTATTTGTTAAAGCACGTGCTGTTCGCTCTTGATTTTGGTTTCTAATTTTTACCAGAAAGGTTTGTAAAAACACTTCAGTGTGAACATTGTTTGCTTGAGAACTTTCTTTGCCTGGTTGTTCACTCAATGAACTTCTTTCTACAGCAGATGCCCTACACATAACAGCCAGGGCTAGGATATACAAGGGCTGGCTCACTCCTTTGATGTTAGCGCTCGCCTCCTCCGCCCCTCCTCAGTGACGTAGCGGAGATACATCGGCGCGAGGCGCAACGGTAGCCTAACACGGCAGTGCATTTGTCGCCCGGCATCTACGCGCATATTAATAATTGTGTTTATAATAATGTAATTTATAGTGTGATTTTTAAAGCGGGTTTTGTTAACCCTCCAACATGCAATGGGCGAACTCTGTAGTGGCAAGGCATTTTTGGCGATTTTGCAGTCATATTTTCGAAAATTCATATAAACTAAACCAACAGATCAAACCTATGAACCGTATTTATTATTTCCAACTTGAAGTGTTCGTAATGAAATTAAGAATTTGAAAATTGCAACGAAATAAATATTAAAAATATTGTAGAAAATATTGTCAGTAGGTAAAAAAATTGCTGCATGAACCAAAAATGTTTCATAAGATATACAAATTGTTTGGAATTTATTTCCCTACATGGAAATGTAAAAAGATTCCAACCACCATTTATACAAAGTTATGGCCCAAAAACGAAAATGACAAGTTTCACGATTTTGCACAACAAATTTCAAATAAAAACCAAATAAATGTATTATCAAGAGGTAAAGTAAAAGTAAACATTTTTAGGCAATAATATTGGAGATCAAATGAAGTAAGAATTGTTTATGTATACTGATCATTTCAATAGATGTTTATGACTTTTAATAAATGTTTATAGGTATTTGTCTTGAAAAACATTTTGTTATTCACACGTATATATTATTTTAAAAACACAAACCAACTATATAAAATGAAAGTAAACTTATTCCCCTACATGAATATAAATAGTTATAAAGGCAAATACACAAAAATAAATATTTTATATAGTTTTTTTTTCTATAAAATGCTAATGTGCCTTTTTCATTTGGCGATTAAATTGTTTGTTAATTATGACGAAATGTTTCAAAAACGGGCTAAATGTAATGTCCCAGGACTTAAATTAAGTAAGTACATCCACATAAAACAGTTTATAAACTAAATAAGTACAATTTTTACAACTAATAAATACGATTAAAGTGATAAAGTCAAACCCGCGATATTTGTTGTTGGTAAACAGTCAATGAAGTTCACAAAAACTGGCTAAATAGTGTCTCAAGTTTCTAAAAGTAATGTCACATTACAGTCGAGGCACAATAAATAATATCGTAACTAAACATTTACAACGTATAATCTTGATGTAAACTGAAAGTAAAATCACACCAAAACTCGACTTGTTAGTTATTGGTCAACAGAGATTGAGGTTAGTTAGTCAGGCAACTTAATGTATTTTTGCAACTATATGTTATTTTAATGTATTGAAATATGTAGGGCCTATAATAAAATGTAATTGATTAATTGAAATTCTTTTCCTTCCTATAAAAGTTACAAAATACTAAGTATAGGTAATGTATTTACATACAACCTCAATGTATTTTATATAACCTCAATTAATCCTAAAAGGTATGAGTAAGTAATAAATAAATACAATTAATAATCCATTCATTAAGATACATTCGAGCAATACAAACACAGATATTACACAGTAACTTTAATGCATTGGATCAATAACTACAGTAATCTTAGCCATCGCTTTACATTCCACTCCCATCCTTAAATATCTAATAAAGTTAATTTTACTTATTAAAATTGATGTTATACGTAAACTTATTTGAAAATCAATTACTTTTATAAAATACATTAATACCTAATAAAAAATTACCAACATAGAGCTTAATAAACGCTAAATGTGCGGTAATACCAGCGCTTACACAGGCAAAGATATACGGTGCCGGGAGCCCGAGGTATCGCCGTGACGTCACAGCGGCGGAGTGGTGGGGAGCCACCTGGCATCACTTTCTGAGCTCGCGTGGCCTAGCCCTTGTATATCTCTAGCCCTGCATAACAGCGGTGTGCCTCCTTCCACAGTTGGGACGTTTTACTCTAACTTTACATTGCACACTCCTATGACCATACTTCAAGCAAGTAAAACAACAATCATTTTTTCCATC